TTGGCATAATTGGTTGACAAATTTGACCTACTAACTTATTCATGATTTCATTCAAAGTATTTAATTGTTTGGCCATATTGTCATAATGTACATTTTCATTTTGAGTAAATCTTTCCATATTATGAACATTTCATAGATTTACTTGTTTAACGACATCTTGCATGAGTTCCCCAAGCAATGCACGCATGGTTCGAGGACTCAATTCTGTCATCGGTTCGTGACGACTTTGACTGCTTTGACTTTGTCCCTCTGTTCGTAGAGTATTTTGCTGCTCCTCATATCGTTCGATCACAGACTGGACTACTTCTTACCTTGCTGGTTCTTTATCAGAATTCTTATGAGGCATATTGCTTCAATTTTCGTATCCTCAAACACTAAGNTCACAGACTGGACTACTCCTTGACTAGCTGGTTCTTTATCAGAATTCTTATGATGCATATTGCTTCAATTTTCGTATCCTCAAACACTAAGGTCCCACCGAGCGTGCCAAATTGTTTCGCTAACAATTAAGAAATGGTTCAGATGATTGTGTAAGGAACAAACCTCCCGAGAAAAAGTCCCAACGAGGGGTGCTTTATTTATGAAGTTAACAATTGGGAAGAAGCAAAACACCTCCAAGGAGTACAAGCACACAAAGTAATTTGAACGTTGACAATAAGAATTAAACGAAATGAAATTACATAATTTTTTGTTTGAGAGTGATTGATTCGGGGTCTTCCCTCCATGTCTTCTTTTTTCTTTTATTCTCCTTTGCCAGCTTTTCTTGTAAAACTGTCTGGAAACTGCTTGTCGCTTTATAACTACCCACTTGCTTTATAATGGCGACGCGTCAAGGAACTGTCGTTTTTAAACTGCTATTACTCTCCTCTTTTAACTGCTTGCAACCGAAATTTTTGGATCGTGGAATGTGATAAGATTGCTCAATAACTGTTTCAATAACCGCCGCTTTAAATAACAACAGGAGGTTATGTTCGCTCAGATCTTGGGCGTCTCGAAAGTTTGGGTGAGAGTGGGATCGTCGCTCTGAGCGACAATAAAGTACTTCATTCGCTCAGATCTTGGGCATCCTGCAAGCTTGTACAATGATAGTCCTCTGTTTATGGGCCTCCACTATGTTTTACAATGGTCTCATTTGGGCCCATTCCTCAAATTCCCTAACTGGGTTCCATTCTTTGGACCATTTAATTGAGACTCATTTTTGTATGTCAACAAATATACTTGTAAATAGCCCAAAAATGAAAAATAACAAAAGAATTAATGAAAGCACGCTGTAACTAACAAATTGAATCAACTCCAAAATACTCACCTCATGATCATTCCTTTGAGCGCCGGGGACTTCAAGGGCTTCAACATCGAACAAATCAATCATCGGACCCGTCCTAATCAACTTCTTCTCTGTATAATCCTCGTCTTCAGAATCATGAAGAGCCGAATCCCCCTCGCCACCGTCGGGATTTCCGTCGTCATCAATCTCGTACCCTTCCTTGTCTTGATACACCCATAGAAACTCCATTGAGTTCACCGATACCAATCCTCCATTCGATCTCCCCTCCGCCATTTGTATATACATGTATGTTGCCTCTTGTAATGAAATTAGACTCTTTGTAGGCACTAGTAAGGCATCTCTTGTACCCTGACCTGCTGAGACTAATCCCGCGATTTACCTCATCCACAATGCTATAAGGGGGCGGGGCAGTGGGACCCTCAAGGTTGGGGTTCAACCTTTATATACATGTATGTAAGTCCTGTATGTATTATGCTAAGTTGATTAAGTGAAATTGATCAAAAACAGCAATAGTGTGGATCTAACGAACGCTGTGGTAAAAAGTATGCACCAACTGGTGCTGGGGAATTGATTCAGAGAGTTGGAAAATATTTCAGGGTATTTTAGTGGGGAATTGCATTATGGCTACTAATCTTCTGCCAATATCTCATCGAGATCACTAAACTTCAATTTATTGCAACTGGATCACTTAATTGTCGCGTAATACGTCACGTCACCCGATCGAGTTTTGCTTTAGTATACGATACGTGTGATAATATTTTCAAATTAAGAAGTTGCAAAAAGCGATTTCTTTCTTTTTTTATATTCCTTTTCTACTTATTCGTTATGCCACAAAAGCAGTACATTGCTTGCAGACATGTGATCAGATAATAAATATAGTCGAAAGAATATGTCCAATCTTATGTTACAAAAATAGGAAATAATACATATCAATATAGGTCCCCGTTTGATACGGATTAAAATCTAAATTTTAATTTAAGTCAAAATTAACAATTAATTTCAATCACATATTCCATGGATCCCACAAATTTTCAACCATATATTTCATCAACTTTTATCAAAATTTACTAAAAATCTGATTTTAATCCACTCCAAACATGGGCTAGGAATTAGGGGTGGTCAAAACCCGACCGAACCCGCCCAAACCGAACCAACCTGACCGGGTTAGGTGTGTTGGCTGCGTAGGCGGGTCGGGTCGGGTCGGGTCGGGTTAGGGTTAACTTATGAAAACCGAATAAACCCGCCCAACCCAACCCGCCACTTTAAAAAGAGAAAAAAAGAAAAATAAAAAAAATAAAATGCCTAGAAAAGTAAAAGAAACTTAAAAAGTATGAGTAGATAGTGTAACTGTAATTATCTTGGTGTACTTTAGAAGTGGAGCTTACTGTTCTTCCCACAAGAAATGTAGTATAAGTTTTTCATGTTGTGTTAAATACACTTTGTTCTTTGTAGGTTCGGTTAATGAGGATTGAATAAGATAATATATAATTTTATTTATTTACTTGCTATTTAATATTGCCTATTCGAATTTAGTATAATAGAAAATTGGATAACTTTAATTTTTGTTGACAAGTCATCCCAAACCGACTAACCCAACCCAACCCGATCGATACTTGATTGGGTTGAGTTGGTTTGGGTTTCAACTTTTACACGGGTTGGGTTGTATTAAATTTTGATCATACCGATCATGTTGGGTTGAATTTGGGTTGAGGCAAAAATCGATCCAACCCAACCTGTGCCCACCCTAATAGGAATGTTAATGGCAAGTCGACCCGTCAACCCCTGAGCTTGGCTTGATCCACCAGGTGAGACAATCCATTTATGCTTTTAGGGTCGAGCCGAGCACAAATCAGCTCACTTTAAAAAAATGCTGAACAACTCGCCCCTAGGTGTGGCAAGTCAAGTCGGCTCGTGGATCACACATTTTTTATTTTTATATTAAAAAAATCACTTCTAAACCAATTTGTTTTTCGATACCTAGACGAGCCGATGGAGCTCAAAAGTCAACGTATGACTTGCACGAAAAAAAATCTAGCTCAACTAGCCTAATGACTCGCATTTGGGGCGACCAACGACTCGCTCCACTTGACATCTATACATCAATAAAATCTGGATAAAACAATACAAGAACTAAAAAGACATATGCTATATGAGCAAAAGAACCACAAATCAAGCAATAATTTTTATGTGAAATCCTTCAATCAAATAAACATTTTATTCCAAAGGCTGATCATCAAGAACTTCATTAATACCCTCGTCGCATCAACGCATCCTAAATTTATAGGTCAATTAACTTCATCAGATTTTTTACACATCACACAATGTCAACAACAAGGTACAATTTGAATGTACAAATAACATTATCCAAAAAGAAACAATCATGCTAAACTTAATATTTTGTTGACATCTTTATTGAATGTATAAATAGCAAGAACCTTGCTACTGTTACAGAAGAATTTCATATGTGAAAACAACAGATAAGACACATTGGGGTGGGCCCCATTTTTATAATAATATTTTATTCGCATGGGGCCCACCCCCATGTGAGTATATGTAAAATTTACAGAACAAATAGTTCTGTACAAGGAGTAAAATCCAAATAGCAATGATTTGAAAATCTCACCCAAAAGTGTAAAAAGGTCAAGAGTATTAAAGTGAAGTTCATAAAAATTTCTTAGTTCTAAAAGATTTTACAATTTCCATTCTCTAACCGATTGAATTTCAATACGGTTTTCAGTTTTTGCAATTGAAGCACGCGCGATCTAGACATTCTCACAATATGTGCATTTATTTATGATCAGACGTAGATATATTCGGCATTGCTTATCAACTAACTCAATAGTACTTTGATCCTGAATTTTGTTTAGGTATCGTTAACTCTCTAAGGGCACTCGTGACTAAATGTGAACAACGAGGCTTGGAAATTATCAATTAAATTATTTGTGTTGCCCCTTCAATTTAACTAGACGAAAACATTTACGTTTAGATTAGATATCTTGCATACTCGAGAGAGTTTGAAGGATAGATATTCTCGTCACAGGATTAAACACAACTCGAAGAAGAAGGTGACTATAAAATTGAAAATATAACCCACAAACTAAACTGACCAAAAAATAAAGGTTTCTTCTACATTAACAAGAAAAGACGCGGAAAACCGTTTAGGAAGCTATAATATTATTCAAGTTTCTTCCGAAGGCTGATCGACAAGAACTTCATCAATATCCTTTTCACACGAAGGGTGATCATCAAGAACTTCATCCATATCCTCGTCACACGAACGCTGATAATCAATAGCCTCGTCACACGAAGGCTGATCATCAATATCCTCGTCACATTCAAGCGGCTGATCATCAAGAACTTCATTCATATCCTCGGGACATTCAAGCGCCGGCATGTTCAAGTCGAAGTCTATAACAATGTTGCTGCAATGGCTTTGGCCTGGGGCACCACCGTTGCTTTTCTTGCCTCCGCCAATCATGCCTTTGTAATGCAGCCGCTTGTGCCCACCCAAAGCCTGGCCAGTGAGGTATATCTTGTGACAGGTGGAGCATTCGTGAGGTCTGCCACTTGGGCTAAGGCTGGAGATATTAGAGGCGGTGGAGTTCGATGTGGAGGACTTGCCGTGTTTGGTTTTGTGACCACCTGGGGCTTGGTAAGATGAGAAACTCTTCTCACACATGTTACACTCGTAAAAAATATTACTGGCAATAGGAGGAGAAAATTCCATATGTTCGTCATTACTAGCGGCAAAAGTGGCGTTGCTAGGGATCATAGTGATGGGTGTGGCCAAGATGGGATTAATATGGTGGCTTGTTCCATGGCAATCAAGTGCTTGGGAAGAAGAAAAAACCTCGCTACACTCGCTGCAATTGTAAGAAAGATTTTGGGCCAATTGAGCAGTAGTAATAGGAGGAGGAGATTCTATTATGTTATTGTCATTGTTTGTGGCGGTGGTAGTGGTGGTGTAGGAGGCGGAAAGACTATTATCACTACTACGTGACAACATCATGAGAGAAAGGCCTATGCTTTCTATCTCAGTTGGTTGTCGGCGAAAGCGCAATCGATTTGACCAATTTTCTTTTCTATTCCAATCAACATTGAGGAGGCGGAAGAGACCTTATCCGCCGGCGAATTTGGATCTTTAGAACTCGTATTGGTGGCTATATTTTCCGGTACAAATTGGTGTATGAAAAAGAGTAAGATTATAGAGAGTGAGATAGAGAATACAGTGTATCAAGTTCGTTCGTATATATAGGGTTTGGGTGAGAATTAATGGACCAATTCTAGTGGGAGTCGGATAGAGAAAGGGTTTGAGAAATAAAATTAACTTTCCTTTTCTTGGATAATTCGCATTAATCATACTCCCTCTTCCTGTATCAATTAGTTCTTCTGTGTTCTAGATGGCTGACTGACTATGCACAGGCATCAAATGAAAAACGTTGTCGTTTATCAAATATTTTGGTTATTTAAAATTATTGAAAAATCTAAATGAAAATCTCTTAATGTTTTTAGAGAAATATTTATTTATTGAGAAATGTATAATTTATTAATTCATAGTAATTTAGAAAGTGTTTACATTTATACTAATTGTAGATGATTTTTTTCCCCAACCAAAATACATGTATCACTAATGAATGGAAAATTAACAAAACAAGTTTATACAATAAAATCTCGATAAATTATTAATCTCATTTAAATAATAAAGAATTTCAGTCATAACTCGAACCAATACATTTAGGGTGCGTTTGATTTGTTTAAATTCCATAAAAAATGTCACATTCGAAGAATTCAATTTCTATTTTAACTGTTTGATACGAAAGTGGAAATAAAGTTCGAATTTCAAGGTGCAACTATTTTAAACTAGTTTTTTTGCAAATTTCATGGAAAACGCATTCTTATGGGGTACTTAAGTTTTTATTTTTCAACTTACATGGAATTAGAAAGTTTTTCCACTTTGTCAATCAAACAAACCTTATTGTGCATTTAATTGCCAATATTTTTAATAGAAAATGTGTTTTTTCCACCTAATTTCCTAATTTTGTGCTATTTGATTGCCATATTTTTTCAATGGAAAATATTTTTTTTAGGGATATGTGATTTTTATTTTCCAAGTAGTTTACTATCTCTTTCTCTCTTTCATTTACCCACTAATAAAAAATAAACAAATATAATATTTTTCAAATTGAAAACTAAATCAATCAAAAATATTAATTAATAATTCTCATATAAATAATTTCTAAACAATTGAATTGCCTAAAATTTATTTTCTTTTCATACAAATTTCATACTTGCAATCAAACACACCCTTAATTATTAAGCCCGGTAAATGCTTAAATATAATACTTTTATTTAAAATCTTTCAATACCAACTAATATATAAAATAATAACTTATTAAATATATAAAAATTGGATGTCAAATTCATTACATCTATGACTATTAATTATGTTTGTATATTAATGTTTAGCTTCGTCTGTATTAGCTTGCTTTTATAAGTGATTTTCTAATTTATTTAATTTTCCATAATTCAAGATTAACCTATATTTATAAAAATGAATAATTTTCTCATTTGTTCATTTTCATATTTAATAGCCATATGCAGTTCTCACACAAAAAAAGAGAATCACAATCCAAAACTCATATTTAGGGCGTGTTCGGTAGAGATTAAAATATGATTAAAATTGAAAAATTAGTCGTTATTGTTGACTTTTATTAGATGAGTCGGACCCAATAACGACCATATTTTCAATTTTAATTGGATTTTAATCGGAAACAAACAGGCTCTAGTTCCAATTTCAAGAGCTCTAATCCAACATATTAAAAAAAATAAAATCTCTAGCCCCTTTTTGGCCCCTACTTTCAATTTTAATCACACGTTTTACGGGATCTACAATTTTTATTAATTTTTTAACAGCGCATTTTATCAATTTTTATCAAAATTTATTTGAAATCTGATTTTGACTAATCTATTGTACTAATTTTTCTAATATTAAGTGCTTGTTGAATAATTTAAAAAGTTGCTAAAAAATTGAGATTAAAATTAATAATTAATTTTAATCACATATTTAATGATACTCGCAACTCTTATCAGTGTTTCAACCGTATACTTCATCAATTTTTATTAAAATCTACAAAAATTTATACCAAATGCTTTATCAAACAACCAAATATATCCTTAGTGTTATATCTATTGTTCCACCCAATTTGGAAAGTAAGTAAACACAGAGCATGGTATGTGCATTTTTACAGGTTCACAACACTATCACCACTCCATTTTGAGCTCTGGCAAAACCATTATTGACTCAAATTGATTATGACTATTAGATTGTGACACAATATGCATGGCATGGTCCGTGAAATTAGTATTTCTACCATATTACCACATTTCATTAACATTGAATAATTTATCAAGTTTGAGAAATTCAATGGATTATCAGTTATGTACTTCCTAATTTAACAATTAACACTTCTTTACATTTTTATAATGTCTTGTCAGCTAGAATCAACATATTTTATTAGAAGTTCGACTTCAAGCTTGGCACGACTAGTTTAGAGGGGCATGTCATGTTGTGCCTAGCTCTTAGAAACAAATCGATTTTTTTTTTTTTTTTATAATTTTCAAAAAAATAATATAAAGCCGATTAACTCTGACAGGGGTCATGTCTACATGCCTTTTTTGGGTCTGTAGGTGACTTGCTTTGCATTTTCAGATGATTTTAAACGTACGAATTCTTCACGCACAAGGTATGTAATTGGACTCTTTGTGGGTATCAGTATGTCAGCTCTTGTGTCTTGACCTGTTGAGGCACATCCCTCGATTTACCCAATCCACAATGCTCTAAGGGTAGGGCGGGATTAAAACTTTATAATATAAAGATGTCTTTATGCTTTTGTATAAAATGTAAGTTTTTATAATATGACAATTCTACTTGACAAAAAGTTCTTGTAGGGTATTTATGTACATTAAAACAAAATGTACACATTTATAGTACCAAATAATGTAAAAACTTTGGGAAAAAGAGAAAAATATTTAATAATCTGATGAGGCTCTTCTCACTAGATGCCAAAAAATAATCAAAATAAAGGATGTTTTTTGTCATTAAAAATAAATAAAAGACCTAAATGGGGTGCAACACAATTTTTATTTATTGCACTACATTTTAATTGTATTTAAGTCTTGCTCATTATATCGTTTGTCTTTAACTTTTTTTCGTTGATTCTTATCTTCAACCTTTAATCAATTACCACGTCTAGTTCTTGAAGATGATTTATTTTAAAAATTACATTTGTGTGCTTTGAATTAAGGGAAAAATACTTTATCACACTTTTGTATTTTTTTTTTATAAATATGATGGAAAAACAAGAGTCTTCCCGATGAAATTTTGAACAATAATCATTATTAGAGACGAGTCGTGCTAATTAATGAAATGTTAATGATAAGAATGCGTAGAATAAATAGGGATATAAGGGTTATAATAAGCAAAAAATTGTGTAGTTCAATTGAATTTAAATATGGTGTATGTAATCCAACATGTTGCATGAATATAGTTAACCTAATTACAATCATGCCATTGTATTTGCTTGCTGCATTATATTTAAATGCAGCAAAGGACCTCAATTTTTGCTTATTGTTCTACTTATGTCTTAAATTTTATTTGCACTTTCTAATCCTTAAGTTTTAATTAATTAGTACATTTTGTCCTTGATGATTTTTTAGTCCAAATATTTTGATAGTGTGCATTAATACGAGTTTTACTATTTTTTGTTTGTTAAAATATGAGGGGTAAATAACTCTTTTCACACTCTCAATGGATCTTTTTGACAACTTTCGTCAGAAATAAGATATACAGATTAACGAAAGATTGATGAAAAGAATGCAACGAAAAGGTATTAAGGACACAAGGGCAAAATGAACAAAAGTTAAAGAACTTTTATCGCAATTAAATTATAGTTAAACAAATAAAGACAATAGTTTTAATATAATTACCCATCTAAATATAAAGATCTATTAGGCAAAATAAAATCAATTATTTAAATATTTTTCTTATATTAATGCTTATATAACAAGTATTTTAAGAGAAACCACAAGGAGAAAATAGGTGAAATGGATTTAATGGGACAATCACTTTAAGGATTAACGGTTTCTAGTTGGACCCTTTCTTTCTATTAAAATATAATAATGGTTATAAATAAAATAAGAAATAATCGAAATTAAAAGCATTTTATCCAAAGAAACTTCTGCGCCCTTAATCTATCGCTTCAATACATGTTGATCCTCAATCTATGATATTATGCATACAAATCATTATAGTCAAAACTGTCTAAATTTTCATTAAGTTGTCATGTAATCCGCGTGAAATATGCCCACTTCAAATTTGAATATCGAACCCACGTTGTAAAGCAAAACCAAACTTTGAAGAATCATGTGACGAGTTAACACAGAATTGAAAAATATTTCTCATATAGTGTCGTTAATTGAAAATTAATTGTAAAATTATAATAAAAGATTAAACAACTTAATAAGGCAAGAAGTGGACCACCGACCAGAATTTTTATCAATGTTGTTAACATTTAACACGACAAAATTACCCAACGTTTGACAGTAAACATAACAAAAGTGCGTGTACAATGTAGGTAAATAGTATTTCACTATTAAACTAAAAACTGCTTCACTGTATTGTAGTACAAATATATACATACTGAGAGACGTGTATGTAGAGAGAGAGAGAGTCCGTTTCTTTTTTCCAGGTTTAATGGCTTGAGACCGTACCAGAGTGTGTATATGTATAATCTACAGCACACATGTATGTAACCAATCCATTCATATTTGCATGCTTCACCAACTCTCGCTCAAAACCCAAATGAGCTTTAAAAAACAAAAAGAAAAAAGAAAATCTTTCTTGAAATGAAAATCGAAACGAAATGCTTATGAAATTTCGTCATTTCACCATCCTTTTCTATTTTTATCAGTTGGACTGACCAACACAGATGCTCAAACGTGGTAATTTCT